GGAGACAATGAATACATTAACTTATTTAATTGAAAATTAAAAATATAGACACAAAATAAAATTATTTTTAAGATGGTTTTTGAGTAGTTATTTTATAATTTCAAGATACAGAGTATATGAGGAATACCCCCCTGTCTCCATCTTCATTGTCCTTTTTATTTCAGGTAGTAACTAAATATAAAGTATAGCTAGATAATTAATCAATTAATTCTTTTTTATTGGACATGGATCGGTTTGAGCGTCCTCTAAATTATTGAGGGGCACCCCTGTCCTTTTATTAGGTTGACATTCACTATGCTATATGCTATACCAGGGGTGAGTAAAAAAATCAAAAAATTAATTAAACCGAGAAAATTGGAAAAAAAATAATTGAAAAAACCAAACTGAAAAAAAAACCAATTAAACCAATTAAAATTTTGAAAAAACTAGTCGGTTCGGTTCGGTTTTATAATCGAAAAACCGAACCGAAACCGAAACCGAGAAAAAACCGAGCCAAACCGGAAAAACCGAGAAAAACCGAGCCAAACCGATTTGAACCGGTTTTCCCCTAAAAAACCGAACCGAACCGAAACCGGTCAGTTTGACCCGGTTTCGGGTGTTTTTTCAATTTTCTTTTTCTTCGGTTTGGTTACTTTTTTTTTATAAAAACCGAACCGAACCGAAAATATCACCCCTATACTATACTGAGCTACTAATAATTCTCTTATTCTTTTCTCTCTCTTGGTTTGATACCTCGTATATTCTTTTATTTATTTATCTATTTATATGCAAGTACATGTGAGCTGTGATTGGGGTTCTTTAGTGTGTTTTAGCTAACATTGGCGATGATAACACCACCAAATGAAATGTTTTAGTTTCAAGATATTATTGGAAGGTTAAGGAACTATTTTTGGGATCTCTGGGCTGGTTTAATTTGGTTATGATGACAATAGAATCTTAATTCGAACATATCATGGTTCATACATTAAAATTGAATATATACACGCACACACACACCTTATGAAAACTTTATACCGACAGGAACAAAATGAGTTTGAGATTTTGCTTGTCTTTCACCGCATTCAGTATTTTGATGCAAATGATTACTGCAAATCTAAGCACAATTCGATTTATAAGATCATTAATAATTTAAATGAATTAATGTAAGATGAATAATATTAGTTATTGGATTAAGCCTTGTGCGTTCATATGAATTAGTCTAATTAAAGTACTCAGAAGAGTTACTGCATAGTAATCACTTTCTTTATTTATATATAATAAAAATTTATATCTTCATGCGGGTTATATCTTTATTTATATAAATAAAAATATAACCCACATGAAGATATAAAATTTTATTATTGAAATATCATATTTTTTTTTTATATTGATAAGATTTATAAAAATATTTATATTATTAAATATTAATTTAGTTTTAATAATTGAAGTAGCACCAAAATAATTATTTGCTACCATAATTTTTAGATTTACCAAGAAATTTTTCACTAGTAAAAACATTATCAACAAAATCATCAATGAAAAGTTTTTGTGGTTAAATCCGTTGATAATAAAAAAATATTATTACCGATGAATTTACTGATTGAAAAAGCAAGCAAAACAATATTTAATTCCGTCAGTAATTTCCTTATAAATAAACCGTGTGTAATTATATTGGTAATTATTTAAAAATATTTTTAAAAAAATATATTTTACAAAACTATAAAATAATTAAATTAATATTAATCAACACTTTATAATATTCAAAATGCTTTCAAAAAAGAAGAAGAAAATCAACTTAAAAAATTGCAATAAATAAATAACACGAAAAAATAAATTCAACTAAAAAAATTATATAAATAAATCAACTAGAAATTAATCTCATATAAAAAAAATCCAACAACAACATTCATACAATTATTAAAAATAAAATATAATGGAAAAGGCATGAAAAATAAAGTTTTTTCTTTTTTACCTTAATGTAGTTGAAAGTGAAGCCAAGAAGAGAAAAACAAATCATAAAGTATACTAATTAAAAAATAAAGAAAAAAAATAAATTTCATTAGTAATTTTGTCAATAAAAATGACATAATATTTTTATTTTATTTTATTTTAATTATTTTTCACTGTTATTTTCTTGGTAAACATTAAAAAAATATTTTTATCAATAAAATTTATCTATAATTTACCAATAAAAATATTCTCTTGATATTTTTATTTGTATTTATTAATTTTTAAAAACTATTAATTTACAAATAAAAAATCAAATTATCACAAATAAGTTGTTATTTTTAACCTGCACGAGTCCCGAACTTGATAGAATTTTAATGAAGCAAGCTCGCCTTTAAATTTTAGATTCACAGCAAATAATAATAATAAAAAAAAAAAAGAGTTCAAACCCTGATAAAACCAAACATGTCAAGCACGGATGCTTAAAAACTCAGACTTGACTCGTACCAACTTATTTACGTGAACATGCACATGCGAATACACAAGCCTTCGTTCTCCGATAAAAAAATATAAAACAACTGGAGTAGAACGCGTTATCAAACGGCTGCTAGCATAAATTAACACTGCTTCTGTATTTATTTATTAAAACAGGAACCTTGCCAATTAACCACTGAGAAAATAGGGCATTGATTTTCTCCGCACGTGTCACGGAGGCTTTCAACATCTTAATTAACAAGGCATTGCCGAGGACAGTCTGAAAGGTAAACTGATAATGCATCTATTGAATAAAGTTTCCATCACGTTATATTACAATTTGACATAGCATCTAACTAGAATAATTATATATATATAAAAAAAAGAAGATCGCCGTCGGGGTGCATGACGTGATTATAAAAATGACCGGAGGAATAGACATTTAGATTAGGCTTGCGCCGGCGGCGTAAGAAGGAAATTGACATTTCACAGGATGCATATTACGAAATTAGCACCCGAGACTCGATAGAAACTGACCAGCCATGCTAGATGGATAATCAAAACACTCGTTAATTAAAATATCTCAAGTTGCGTGCATTCGACGGAAGTAATTGCTCTGTTCTGGCCTTAACAGCCCCTTTGGAAATTAATAAATACATATAAGCACTTCTCGTTGCTGTTCACTTGTCCTCCTATGATTTGATTTTGAGGTTATCCATGAGTATCGATGTCAATTTATGGACACAAAGCGGATATAATTGCCCGATCCAGTTCATTATATATCCATTAGGCATGCTAAAGCTCATAATGAGCTAGAAGAATACATGCAAGTGAATGTAAGTTTGTAAGGTATCAGCTCATACCTTGTTTATTAATATCAAAATTAAACTATTTTATTTATAAAAAAAAAACATAGAGCATGATCAAACTTTCACTGTAGAGGAAGACTCGATACACCATGAACACAGACGATTTGTCCGTCCACGGCTGTGAGGAAATGATTGTATTTTAGAGGCAAAATGATAATTTCACAGGGTTTAATTATCATTACTAATTTTTTTTTGGATAGACTGGTCTCTGTAAATTTTTATTGCGCATTGAAAATATTAATTTACCTTTTAATTATAGACAAGAATTATAAAACGGGGCAAAGGGTTTTTTTATTAATATATTATATCAACTTGCCCTTCTCCTATCTTTTTATTACTCAAAAACTAACATGGAAATTTAAAATTTCCCTCTAAACAAGTCTAAATTATTTTTGATTTCAAAGGTGTATTAGTAATTGAATTTTGCTGTGAAATCTGGAATTCTAAAAGAACTTGTAGCAACCAATAATCTTATTTTTAGTTTTAACAGCAATAAAAATATTTTAATATCTCAGAGAAATATGAAAAAACCTTCATACCCCCATTAAAAAAAACAAAAAAACAAGTGAATCACATGTAAAATTTCATTTTACCCGTGAGCGCTTAATCTTGCAGTTTGATTTGGTGAAGTAAAAAAATTGTTAACTCATCATTATTTCCATACACGGTAGTCCACGTGTTTGTCTAGTGTTACAGTATTTTCCCGCGCATTGTATATCTCGTCAATTAATTTCATTTTTATTTCAATGCGGCGGGGTTGACTTGAGGAGACGGGTACCTGGCATCCCGCGCGCGACAGTCATTTCCAAAGAGAAAAAACATAACTGTAAAACAACGAAATTCACTCATACAACAGTGAACCGCTCAATTATAGCACTATTCATACATTTATAGCCATGGACTTGAGTCTGCTTGAAAAAGTAAAAAAATATCTTCTTGCTCGATTAAATTAGACAAAATTAGAGTTAAATGTAATAGACTTTAAAGAATCGTCGTGGTGATCGAGGGTTTATGATTTTTTAGTTATTGAATTTAAATCTTGAAATTAATATTCTTAAAATATGTTTCTTTTATATGTATAAAGTCGACATAAAAAATAAAAAAACATCTATAAAATCCTTTTTAAGAAAATATAGTTTCGATTAACACGGAAATTAATCAAAGAATGTTAAAATGTTCCCAAAAGGTTGTGCAATCATGCAAAGCAGAGAAACAGTGCTATGTACCACGCAGTTCTATTTACGGACATCTGTTCTCCTTTCCTATGATGTAAGCTATCTTAAAAATTAAAATGTTATCAAGTGCTCACGTGAGGGGTCTAAGATTAATATATTTAATATATAGCTTACTATCTTAAAAATTAAAATGTTATGAAGTGCTCACGTGAGGGGTCTAAGATTAATCTTCTTTGAACTGGAAAACGAAAGAAGTTTCAAAAGCCTTCGATGCTATATTTTTTTCTCATAAAACAAGTTATCTCTATTGTCTTGTTAAAAAACAAAAACATTGAAATGATATTTTTTAAATTTATTTTTTCATGTGATTATTAATATTACTAGTTTGGTGAATTTATCAAGTTAATTTATATTATTTTTTAATTAATTTTTTAAATTTTATTATTTAATATTAGATTGATTAAAAATAATTTAAGTTGTTTTTACATATGCTAGTTGGAGATGTAATATTGTTAAAATAGTTATATATTAAATATATTAAAATACAAATGGATTGTATAATCAGCAACATGATTATATTATATAAAAAATAATTAATGGATTGTATAATCAGTAACATGATTATATTATATAAAAAATAATTAAATTGGTTTTACTGTAAAATATATTAAGATATATAGAACTATTATAAATGATTTTTTTAACATTAGAGTATACATAAATAAAAGAAAATCAAATTCACATCATTCAAAAACTATTTCATCTTCCCGGGAGATGCTCGTGTACACCTGGAGCGCAATCCATCTTAGAGATTACAGGCTGTGAGATTGATTGCATGCCCCACTCACTAAACTTTAACTTCCAGAATGTTTTTATATCCATGTCTTTTAAAATAAAAGATAAATCTGAAAATCCTCTAATTGAGTGTCGGCCGAGACACTTTTCAGTGCAATGCGGGTTATCTTGTGCCCCCATCGGCACAGGGAGACATGCATGCTAAAAATGATGGGGCAAAATCGACAGCACATCTTGACAGACATGCTCTTTCAAACTCAAGCCTACCTTTCTACCTTGCCATTGAGTGCTAGCTACTAGTAGTGTTCTCTCTGGGTCCGCTGGCTGACCGGGCGTGAAAATGGTGTCAAATCAGTTGGCCAAGAATGGCAAAAGGAGACGACAAATCTCACAAGGATGATCACTCACGTATTCAATCTCCTGCCATCTCTGATCCTCCTCCCCGGTAAATTTCTAGGTCCATCATCTACAGAGCATGATGGGTCTCCATTTCCCCCCTATAAAGGAAATTCTCTGCTCTAATACTCTTCCACGTTTTTGGACCGGAAGACCTGGTCAATGGCCACTCGTTTTATTTATTTTTTATCCATCCTTTACTTTTTATTTGCGCACAATTCTCATGCCCGATTCTAGCATTTTGCCTCACATTTTTTAGCTATTACTTTCTTAGTGATTTATTTTTTAAACCTATTTTTTCCTTTACCATTTCAAGCCCGGGGTGTAATCTGAACCGAATCCTTTTTCCCACAGCAGCGGATGTGACCTGTCCACAATGTGAATTGTGTTTTTAACGGTTGTGCGCTGTTAGCCACGCTGTCAAAATGGAGGGGTTGATGTTTGATAACATTTGTTTTTTTTTAAAAAAAAATTATTAAAATATTTTTTTAATTTATTTTTAGACCATGTTTGTTTCTTGGAAAACAATTTCTGAAAAATTACTTTCCAAACTTTCATGTGTTTGTATTTCTGAAAAACTACTTTCCAAACTTTCCTGTGTTTGTTTGTCATTAGAAAAGTTGGTCAACGGAAAACACTTTCTGTTCAACAAAAAACACTTTCCAGTCAACGGAAAACACTTTCCGGTCAATGAAAAACACTTTTCGGTCAACGAAAAACACTTTCTAGTCAACAAAAATATTTTTTAGTTAAAAAAAAAAAAGTGGTTTCCGAGAAAACACTTTCCAAACTTTCTTGTGTTTACTTTTCAGAAAGTGGTTTTTGGAAAATCATTTTCCAAAGTTTCTTGTGTTTGTTTGCTGTTAGGAAAGTTGGTAAACGGAAAACACTTTTCAGTCAAAGAAAAATTTGGCTTCATTTTTAGGAAAATGTTTTCCTGAAAAATTTGAAAGGAAAAGACTTTCTAGAAGTTGTGAAAAGTTTATAAATGTTATTATTTGCTGATTATATCAAATTGGCTCCTCAAATTTTTGATTGCTATATATATTTTGTTTTGAATATTTATTTTTCAATTTCATTTCTTAAAATTTAATTTTAATATTTACTTTGGTCTTCATTTTTATAATTGATATTTACTTTTCTCCTATTATTTTTTTGTTGAAATCTTTTTCTATCAAAATTGGTCCTCATTCTCTTAATTGTTATTTATTTTATTTGAAATACTTTATGAAATGTTAATTATTATTATTTTAATTTCTT